CATTTTTCATTTGCTCAATGTGAAAGTTTTTCAGACTATAAAAAAATTCTGTTCGGAAGCAGAGCATCGCTTGGGTCACTGTGGTGGTGTTGAAGAATTGAAAAGCTGCCCGTTTTTCAAGGGAATCGATTGGGTTAACATCCGGTAAGGTATTTAGCTTGAGGCTTAATTGAGTTATCTGTTAACATTTTGATGGGTTTATCACTGTAGATGACAGCCAACTTCTTGTCTCCCGTATTGTCTTGGTTGGAAGATCATGCAAATGAAAGGAAAAAATCGAAGAATTGAGTTATAGGCTTACTCCATGTTAGGGGTCTAGACACGGACTTGACGATAGTTTAGAGGTGACGACGTAGAGGAAAAAGGAACCGACACGGTTCTGAATCAACGGGAGGCGGTGGTGCTGTTCTGGATCGTATGCTCCATCACGCATTTTCCCACTTTTTATGGGGTCTTTTGCATCTGTGCAGTGCGAAAGCGCATATTGTCAAGGGGTTGTCTGTATGTGTGTGCGCTCGCGCCTGTACCGAGTTTTCATCTCGAGACTTACAAATTCTGGTAGGCCAATAATTTGCCAGCTTAGTCTACACGCATGTACGGATCCTTATGGCCAAAATGGACTCTCATGTCCACGTGGTCCTTACGCACGCGGGCACGTGAAAATTTTTGGCAGATAAGTTGCTAACTCGGGAACCAGAAAAACTATAAAGCTAAAATTTTAAAGGGATGTTTTCAAACAATCGTGATGGCCAGCCTCAATTCCTTTAACTAGAATCATCTGCTGGGGAAAACAGTGCCGTTAACGACAAAAACCTGCGAGGAACTATGTAAAAAATGCATCTTCGCACCGGTGCGCTGGCCAATTCTTTTCTGTCTCTCCTTTTGCTCCTCTCTGTGCATCAGAATTATGAGACTCAAAACTTGGACAAAAAGATATCGAAATCAACTCTGAGGCGCTCAACCAGAATGTGAAAAGAGTGAACCAGAATTGCTAAGTTTAGTGCTACAGCGTCAAATATGTTATATTCGAAATGATGGGCAAAGAAAATACGAAGGTGTTATGAAAGTTGCCGTTTTTAGTGTTGAAAAGCCACTGTCATTCTGATTAGGGTGACGTATAAAGAGCAGTGGATGAAGTCGTGGTATTCTTGTAAATTTATGTTTGGTATCCCAATATGATTATATTTCGGTATAAGTTGGCTGTTTTGGAGACTCTGAGGGAGAGAGAGACACATCAAAATGTTGCATTACAGGAGATGTCCGGCACCGATTCGTGTTCAAGTGAAGAGCATTGATGATACTTCTAATTTTGATGATTTTCCGGATGCCGATTTGCGCATTCGTGAGTACTTTTTTAACAGTTCCGTAATTAAGACGATCTGAACAATCGGTGTGATAATCCGGTGTTGGTAACGTTATCGGGAAGTCTTCACATATGGACAGAGCTGTACCAGATCGTGTCTCCATTTGTTGCCCACCGCATCTTCGATATTTGCGCTCCATCACTTCCTTAAACACCCGGTTCCTCCCTTTTTTTCTTGTGTTTACCGCTTTAATTGATAGGGAACATCCGCTGGTTGTTAATAAGGCGAGCATCATGTCCTCTCTATGGGATTTTACTGGTTGCAGTGATATCTTGCAAGTCGCTGAAGTAACGGAACGTCTGGTTACTTATTCGGTTACGAAATAAAGAACCGAAGCATCCTCCGCTCTGGTGCTTTTTCTGTTATTGCCATCGCTCGTTTTTCTGCTTTGATCAGTGATCACGTTTTGTATCCGTACGTCATTACCTTCATAACAGTGGTATTGAAGAGGCGGGCACCCCTCTTCCGGTTCAGCATTTTTAGGCTGTTGAAAATGCTATGATGTTTATACTAACTGAGAGTTCTATGTGCAGATTCTTACTGCAAATTCTAGCTTGTATTTATTTCCTGGGCAAAATATAAAACACTCTTTTCACTCTGGTTTCCGGCACATCGGAACTTTGCATCATCGTTTTCTCTGCGTTGGTTTTTAGGTCCACTTTCTTGTTTTATGTGTTAAACTCACGCAGCATCTCACTTCACGAGTGCTGCTCGCAATTAGAATTATATCATCTACGAAGCATAAGCGGCTTATTTGTTCGTCGTTGGTGTTCGAAGCATCTTTCTTTATGAGATTGCGAGACACTTTTTCGAGACAGTCCGTGAAAAGTTAGGACGGTATGAAATCTCTCTGCCTTATGCCTCTTTCGGTCGTTGTACTGACTGGATCTGTCATTTAGTCATGTTCTTCAAATGCATAATAGTATTGTTGATAACATTGAGCGTAAAGTTATTCGTG